TGGAAACATTCAAGGTCAGGTTGAACAGGGCTCTGAGCAACCTGATCTAGTTGCAGATGTCCCTGCTCATTGCAGCGTGGTTGGACTAGATGACCTTTAAAGGTCCCTTCCAACCCAAACTATTCAATGATTCTATGAGTGTTAAGACCCCTGATGTGAATTATTTAAGCTGCTGTGGATTGTGGCAGAAATGATGCACAGTGCTGCGTCTTGCCTTGGTCAACCTAACTGTGACTGCTGCTTTGGCTTGTTGAAGTTCAGGCTATTTTGCTTTCCAAGGCACTGTAATGTAGTAGGTTGGTTGAGGGCTGTGCTTTTATGTTCAAACTTTAGCCAGCGGGGCAGGCTGGCTGTAATACCGTCACTAAAATGGTTTGGTTGTGCTTTTGAGTTTTGTCTTTGAAAAGTGTTTAGTATTCTGCTGAACTTAGTGTCCATGTGTGTATGTTTGAAGAGCTAGTCTTAAAAATAGTCTTGTTTCAATGCTAATTGTTTTTCTAGAGCCACACTTCTGAACTAGACTGAAGGTCACATGCTAGAAATGAAGTGCACCCTCTCCTTGGGGACAGCTACCCAGAATGACCTGGTGTTTGCCACAGAGTGAGAACATGCACACCACCAGTTTCCTTGTAGCAGCTGCCATGCAATATGTTCACACTCAGCTTACCTCAAGACAAATTACTTCCCTTCCTGTAGCTAGAGTAAAACTATTGCATGCGCTTAGCTGAGCAGCATGCTGGCTTCTGGCCAGGATGACCTGTCTGTGTGGCGCAGGAGTATAGGTGCTGTAACCTTGCTCTGCAGAATGGGGCTGATGCTGTTGGCAGGGCTGTAAGTTCCACCCTAAGATGTCTTTTGCTTCAAGTTGGCATAGCTGTGTTCAATACAAGTGTAACACCAGGACACAACGCAAGAGGTAGGCTTCATGCTCTGTGTGCTGTTGTGTTTCTTTTGATTCCTTCCTTGGATTGCCAGGTAGCTCTGGTGCTCCTGGGCTATGGGGTTTTAGCAGCTGTGGGCTAACACTGTTGGTGGAAGTAGTGTGCTGCTGACCCTGAATTCTTTTATCTGTGAACCCACTGTTCCCCAGTTGTGTAAATTCATCTGAATACAGGAGGCTGGAAGCCTGTGTAAAAAGGAAAATGAAAAGAACCTGTGCGTGGATTGGTATATTCCTCCTACTCAGAAGGAGGAATGCTGCTATTTGGTGAACTAGTTCATGGAGGAAAAGAAGAAAGCCACCGTAGCCTCCTCTTCTCCCTAGCAATTGTGCAGTCTCCATCTATGTGCTAAGGCTTTCAGGATCAGTCTGGGTAACTCCCTGAGCTGGCCTCCAACTCAAAGCTGGCCCTGCTTTGACTAGAAGCACATGGACCTCCTGGGATGCCTTCCAGCCTGAATTTTCGTCTCAAATATTTATGTTGTTGAGAATCTGATACTGCATGTCCATGTCCACATGTATGTTCCAGTTCTGGTAATAATATCACCTCAGAGCATTGGAGCTACATGGTACTTTGTCTTCTCTTGGCAAGGACTGAGTGAGAGGAAAGTGGAAATATGCCTTCATAAAATCTCCCCTTTCAGGTTTCCATAAATGACAGCAGTGCATTTCAGCTCTATGAAGAAATTAGTTCAGTGGCACCTCTTACAAACCTTACGGCTTTGTTTTTTTTCCCCTGACATAAATGCAGATTAGCTTTAGAAGGGGAGAAGCAGGGGCAAAGATTATAGAGAGATCAAGAACCAGAGATGAATCTTTGAAGAACTAGAGGATGTGAATGGAAGCCTTATATTTGTGCAGGAAAGAAAAGCAGTGTTTCTATACGTAGAAAGTTACTGCCTCTGAAGTGGGTAGAAAGTTTGTTCTTTTAAAAAGGATAATCTGGAAGCTTGTCTTTAAATCTTGAGCTTGGACCATACTCTATTAGAAATCTGTATCTTCACTTTATAAAACGTTCTTATGGTATATATGTATGTATATATTTAAATTTGGGCACTCGATTCATATGAGAAGAATCTTAGCATAGATAAGTTATAGGTTGGTATTATCTTACCATAACTGGTTGTGAAAAATACCCAAGACCCTTTACCTTAACCAGCTGGCATATGGCTTTATGCTTTACTTGGGAGCTAGCAAGAGCTACCTTTTTCTTGCTACATTCAGCGTGGAAGTAGCAAGCACTTTTGTGGCTTTCTGATGCTTTTTAGGAGCTGAGTTGAATTTAAAATGTGTGTTGTGTTGCAGAGTTTTTTTCTGTGCTGTTAACTGAGGGATGGAGAAGAATTAGTGGAATTTGTGCTCTGAGAACTGGAGGATTGGTAAACAATCTTGTCCAGCTGCATCTGGAGCAAATCTGTAGTTGTTGGGGTTTTGTACAGTGAGAACTGAATTGGTGGCTGCAAGAGTAGGGAACTTCTGTTGTACTTCTGTTCTTTACTTTGTTTACTGGATTTGCAGTCGTCTTACTCTAATTTTTCTTTTCATTGCATTTCTGTGGTAAGGAAGAATAGCCCTGTTTGGATTCTGTAGAATAGTTTATACTCTGATGACATCAGGTCAGTGCATATGGTATTAGCAGAAAAAAACATGACTAATGTCACGTCATGTGGGTCATTTTTTCCTTCTTGCCCTTTACAAGTAGAAAAACATGTGCAATGTAGCATAGTATCTGTTTTAATACACTGTATATTGCTCTGTACTTAATGTGACAAGAAACCTTTTTGGAGATGTTTGTTCCTTTGTCTCTGATCAGCCCCAGCTCTGTTTTTCTGACTGCATAGATGGACACATTTGTGGTCAGTACTTAGTGCTGGCAAAGGCTGCTTGCTTTCCTCCCCCACATCAGAGCTTAGAGATAGTAGCTCCTTGCAGTAGGCTGTAGCATATATGTAAATGGCTTTTTATCAGCCTGTTCTCCCTGTGTGACATCTCCCACAATAACCACCCCCATACAGACTGTGCTAGGATGGCTCTTGCAGTTTGATTAAATGCTGCATGTGTATGAATGCCAGTGGATTGTACTGTGGATTTCTTCCAGGGCCCTCAGCCCCACTTTGCAGTTAAGGGGATGGTGACTCTGAAATGCAATACTTCTTAAAATTTATTTTGAATTAGGGCAAATGCCTAGAAATTCAGAGGTAAATATAACTGAGACAGATGTAAGAAGAATATTTGTAGGCTGATCGTTCTAGCTTCAGCACTGGGTGGTTTCTTTTTCTGTATAGGGAGTTAACATCCTCTTTTCCCCTCCATTACATAGCAACAGGGTTAGGAAATAGAAGGTTTGAAATAGTAGGAAAACAACCCATGATATAAAGCCAGAGACTTCATAGATGGACTAGAAGACAAAATCTGTTATATGTTGGATGCTGTACAAGGTATGTCAGTGGAAAGGAGAGAATACAGAATGGGCATTAGTTAAAAGCAGCAAAATGATCATCATCCCTGTCCCCTACACACTGTCAGTTTGAAGTAAACCCACGCTCCCTGCTCTACTCTGGTCAGGATTTTCAAAGGTGAAAGGTGCCAATGTGTGTTCCTCCAAGATACAGCCCCTTGAGGCAACATGCCATGCCCTTCTGACTTGAGAGAGGGCAGAGGGAGCGGGGAGCCACCTTCTGAGCTTGCACCAGTACGGCATCTTCTCGTCTCGACCCACTGAACTAACTGCTCGTGTCTGGCTCAAATGTAAGACATGAGATAGGGAAACTCCTAGCAGAGTAACCAAGGGGACAAAACAGAAACGATCATGAGGAGTAAACAAAGCTAAGACTGCCTAAGAACCTCAGGCTCCTTGTACTGCATCACGGGGAACCTGGCTCCCCTCTGGTGCCTCACAGTGAAATGAGCTGTGCTGAGGCGCTGTGCCTCCCGGGACTGCGGGGGCCCGGGAAAGCGTGGCTCCTGCTACGCGCGGTGGCTCCTCACATGGAGTAGAATCTTTTGCTGTCTGCAGCAGCAGTGTGAATAGCTTCCTTGGAGAGGCTGTCCAGATGGTCAGCTCTGTGGATCTGTGTCAGGAACACTAGGATTTTTGTGTTACATCTTACACATTTTTCATTGGTATGTGTTATTGTATATGAAGTTTGTTGGGAAGCGTGTGATGAACTTTTTACAACCTGTGTTGGGCTACTGGGCGTAAGTGCAGTTGTGTTTGGTGTAGAAGACCTGAGTTTCCAAGCAGTAGTGTATTGTAGAGATCCATTTTAGCGTAAGAACCTACACTTATAAGAGTAAAATCAGTGTGTGAATGTGTAGCCTCTCCAAATAGATTTAGAGATATGACGGTTGTCAGTGTTATGCCAGACGAGGATCTGATAAAAAAAGATTTTCATGTAGCGACAATAGCTGTGGGTCTTCAATTAACATGCTCGTTGTTTGTAAGTGGGCTTGAATGATGATACAAGAAAGAGTTTTAGTAGTACAAAATCCATGTTTTTTTCCTTTCTTTGGAAAAGAGGGTGATCTTGTGGTTAAGAGATTCTTGTGCCTTGCCAAGAGCTTGCTGTGTGTCCAGTTTGCATGAGCTCAGATTTTCCAAGAGAGGCCTCAGTTTTTCCGACTTTGTTTTAGTACCTCTTTGCTTTTTTGTTACCCCTCCAAACTGCTGCTTACTGAAAGCAGTTGGAATAGTGGATGCTTAGAAATTCTCAAATCCAGTGGCCAGGGTGTTTCTGAAACAGCACTTGTGTTGAAGCACCCAAAATCTATAGCTGTCTTTGGAAATACAGGCAGGTCTTAATTTCTCTGCTCATCCCTACCAGAGGGATTGTATATCCTTTCTTCATAACGTGTTTGAAAGGCACTGTAGAAGTGTGCAGTGGCACTGTGTGTTAGAGCAGCATGACAAAAATGCCTTGCATGTGTAGGAATTTTATTTTCCTGGGGATCTTTTCCTGAAAGTCACTAAAACAAAGGGGAAACCCACCTATGGAAAAATTTTCCTGTCAGCTGGCATATGAAGGAATAACACAGCCATACTGCTGTTGGTGGGCTCCAGTTAAAAAAGTGTTGCCATTTTGCAGGTCTGTCACTGGAGCGTTCAACCAACTCAATTGCGTCACGTGCTCGACTGTGTGAAAGGGAGGAGGAAGTCATGGCTTGTTTTGAGACAGCGTGTGTCATTGCCCAGGTGTACTTGCAGGAGCTTGAAAAGGTAAGAAGTGGTGTGCTCAGAGTGTTAACCTGGCGGCCTGGGTGGAATTTCCAGGGTTCTGATAGCAAAAATGGGGAAATGCCAAGTAATCATAGACAATAAGGAGTATGAGAACAAGTTGGAAGGAGTGAGGTGTCTCAGTACAAGCAGTTGCAAAACAGCAATTAATCTGGTCTCTGTTTCCTCTGAGAATGAGGTCTGGAAACGAGTTTTGCTTGTGGTAAAGCGCTGAATACTTCAGATATGCTCAGGTTGTATCTCAAGTTTAGCTCTTACTAAAGAGGGACTACAAACTTTGCATAGCAAGTGCCAGCGTGAAGGAACCCAAGACATTTTACATATCTACCATGTAAATGATACACAGTAGTGGATATTGAGATGCCTAACGAGCTGAGAGTAACCTTTTTGGGTCAGCCATAGCAGTTTAACTGCCAGTGCTTCACCTTCTCCAAGTGAAACTAGAGGAACCTTGGTTATTAGTAGCAAGTAACTGCTTAGTCAGTGGTTGGCTAGGATGCTGAGTAAGATGAGTACTTTGAGCCCTCCACTGAACTGTAATATGTGCCACTGATTTGCTGGGCACATGCCTAGTTCTCTCTATCTCTGTAACTTTGCCTAGCTGAGTTTAACACCATGCGCTTCCATGCCCTTCCTTTGCCACACGTTATGCTTGACACCAGCAGCACTGATGGCACTGCACATTATCTGTTGTTCTGTAACTTCATGGCCTTTGACCTTCTGAACAGATATTTCTGCTCTTCTCAGCAGCAAAAGTGCGTGTCTATTCCAGGTTTTGTTTTTAATTTCATTAAAACAAGAAAAAAATGAGCTTAGTGCATATATAAGAATTCATTAAGAAATCCAGCTAACAAGTTGTCTGGTCTGTTTATTTGTAGGAGAAAGCTGAATGGCTTTTTAATTTAAAATTAAGTACTGTCCTTCTCTTTTGGAAGGACACGTTCCTGCCAGTACTTGGCACTTGTAAGTGTTTTTACTGACAGCTTGCATCTTTGAAGAAGGGAAAGAGTTTGAGCTGTAATTCATTCATCTTATGGACACAGACAAGGATGCAGGATTGCTGATAGATGTACTAAAAGTCCATAGGTCTTCTCCATAGGTCCTGGATGTAGAACCCTTCTTTGGAGAGTCCACACAGGGCAACTTCCATCAATGAAAGCTGTTTGTTACCAGTAAGGAAGCAAAAGCAAGAAGGGTTTGATAGGATAAACCAAGGAAAGGCTAAGATTCTTCCATCAGGACTCCTGATAGCTTACCAATTCTTAACAAATATTTATATTATGTTAAGCTGGACATACAGATTCAAACATTGCCTTAATATGTCCATGCAAGATGCTGCATCTGTGTGCTGAAGCCCTTGGTATTAATGTGTAGCTTTCTACTTACTTTATTAAAGGTTGGAAAGTAATAAGGGATGATGTTTCAAAACTCAGATTGCATGCAGAATATTTCATGGAAGTCACTTTATAGTTTATTTTAAAGTTACTTTGAAAGGCTTTTGAATAGCTGATGAACATAAGTTTTCAAGTAGCTTGAGGAGGAATCTGATGGCAGATGGTAACATTTTGTTGTTGGAGATGTCTGCCTCATGAGGCACTGGCTAGTTCAAACAGTTGTCTGTAACTCCAGATATTTCTTTCCTCCCCTCACAGACCTTAAACAACACACATTCAAGAAGTATCAAGGGCAGCAACGTGACTTACTCTGAGTTTGAACTTTCCTACTTCCTGGAAGCAGCTCTGCAGAGTGCCTACGTGACTCATTTAAAGAAGGGGTAGGTGGATGCAGATGTTAATAAAAATAGATAATGTTGCATGTTTTGTCTCAGAAACAGATGACGGCTTATTTCTTTGTATGTGTTCTGTTGTGAGTTTTTTGCTGCTGGTTCACCTCAGGTCTCATCAGTGTCCTTCCCTCCCTCCTGTTGGTCTCTCTCTGTCTCTCTTAAGAGTCCTAAGCCTCGTTTTACCAGCCACACAGGTAGGGTGGAGTAGAACAGTTTTGTTGTCTTGACTCAGCTCAGTTCCCTGTGGAGACAAGGGGAGTTTGATGGTAAAGAGAGAATGGAATTTGCACTGCTCTGTGCTTTTAAAATGTTCAGCCACAGGGCCTGGTTTAGAGCTCAGTGAAGGCTTAAGGGTAGTTTCTTTCACTTGTTTGTTTATTTAAGGTCTTAAATGTCCCAGTAAGTACCCCAAATCTGTGTGGTTTTACTAGAGAGAATGCATGCTGGAACAGTGCTGCTCCAGGGTCTGTATTATGCCTCTGAAATATAGCTCCCAGTGAACCTTGGAAGGGCAAGAGGAGTTGGTATCTGCAGGCCTACAGAGAATTTCACCTGAGGAAAACCTTCTCAAGAGTAATAAAAAGACATTGTTAATGCCCTCTTCCAAAGGCCATCGGTGAGGGTACACTGTTCCCTAAAACAGGCTGTCTTCAAAACATAAATTCTGTTTAGCTGATGGAGAGGTTGCCATGTAAGGAGAGTGTCTCTCCACTATGTGTAAATGGTGCTTGTAAGAATCCATCCTTCCCTAGTCATATTTGTGTACCGTAATATCCCATTTGTTCTCAAGGCATCAGATACTGAATTTCTCACTGCTCTGTGTAATGTTGCTGGTCAAAGTTTTATAAACTTTTAAAAGCAAACCATCTTTGAAAGTATTTCATTTTGGCTGTTTTTTTACCTCACTCCCAGTCAAAGATACTTTCTTTCATTTTCTTCACTCCTCCTTCTTTTCCTGCTGAAAAAAATGAGGGGAGATTGAAAGGGGGGGAAAAAAACCTAGGAAAAAAATTTCAGCAAAAGTCAGTTCAAATTCTTCTGTAGAAAATCGATACCTTTTTTTGACTTTGGAGAAGGAGGGGTTGCTTCTTCTTTAGGGTTTTCTTGGTAGTTTTTTATCCCCCAATAATGCCTTTACATGCAACTGTGAATTGCCTCTGTGTTCCCCATGCTTTCATTAAAAGCCTGCATGTACAGCGGAGCTGTACCCATAAGCATATCTGTGAGAGGTACCTTCAGCTAAGCCTTGTTTAACCCAAAGGCTTACAATTACACAAAGCCCAAGTGTTGTGAAATGACCCCTTTAGTCAGGTGAGTACAAATTTATCTGTAAAGAAAGTATGCACTTGTAAGTAGGTGTAGTCTCAGTATCACCTTGGCAGTAGGGGACAGATATGTGGTTTTCCCAGGTGAGTTGGTGGTTGACCACCTGTGGCACAGCGTGTGCTTTTCTAACCTTTTGCCATTCTCATGGTGAAAAAAAATTGCAGGTCGTGTCAGTAAGCTCATTAACTATGTAATAAAATAAAATCTCATTTAGAACATATGGCACTGATGTCCTCTAGGCACCTTTTGAATATCAAACTCACTCATTCATTTTATTCAGCAACATTATAAATTCAGTCTTCATCAGTTCAATATATCCAGTGGGTTGTCTTAGCTATTGCTGTGGGCCCTGCTTGCTCCCTTCCCACGTTATTTTAATGACAGCCGTTAAAAACAAAAAAACAAACAAACAAAAAAAACCCCCAAAACCCCAACAAAACAAACCAACTCACAAAAAACCCTACAGGGAAACAATTTGGAATCAAAATACATGTGTGAATTCAGCAGCGCTTTGATTATAAGCTGAACTGTTGCAATAGCAGGAAAATATTCTCTGTAGCTGTCTCCTGATGAAAGAGCATCCCAGTTGGTGTGATGGAGCTCCCATGGCTGGATCAGGAACAGAGCCCCACACGCTCCTCACCTCCTCCAGTGCAAGTGAGAAACACCAGGCAGGGAAATGAAAGCTCTGGTGGGGGGAAAGGAGCCTGGTGGGACTCCACAGCTTGTTCCTCCCCAGAGCTGGTATTAATGTGTGGTTTCTGCCACGAGAGGGCATAAGCAGCATTGGGATATATTAAGGAAAGAGGAGAGAAGCAGGAAGAAGTGTTTTAGGGTGCTTCATGTGTATAATAAATTTCTCCACCTGATATCGAACAGCTCGAAGAAATGCTTTTGTTTTCCTTATTGCTTCCAGCATGTTCAGGTAGGAAATAAGCCTTGGATGATGAATGCTCAGGCTGGGAAGGGAGTAGTCCTTATCAGGTGGGATGTCCTTCAGCAGGGGCACATGTGTGCAGAAGAAATAGTGAGTGCTTTATTCTTGTCTCGCCAGGCAGAAGAGCTGAGGGATCTGAGTGATTTGTCACGCTTTTGTTCCTGCTGGCAGGAACCGGCACGCTTCTGTCGGAGCATGGTCAGGGATGCCCTTTTCTTTTGCAGTGTACAGTGGAAAAAAGGCACCAATACAAAACAAAGATCTGGTCTCCTTTTCAGATATTGAGCCACCAGCTGTAAGACCAGCGAGTCTTGCTGCTGTGGAAGTCCCAGATGCTTTTAATAAGATGTTTACTTAGAAATATTATGTTGCTAAAGTCACATTTCCTGCTGCTGTTTGCCCTGCTGCATCCCAGGAAAGCTTTCTTTTATTCTTTCAGTAAGCAATGTTGATGCTGTGGATGCAGAATATAGGCAAGTAGATGCTGTTGTACTGTAGGATGTAGCCGGTTGTCTTCCACGTTAGCATCTGCAGTGGGTTTTGTTCTGTTGGTTTTTTGTTGGTTTTTTTCTGATGTGGATGTGTGAAGGTTAGGCTCATTTCTTACTGCTTTTCCTTTCAGAATATTGAACAGGTATTACTACTTTATACTGTTATGGGGGCTTTCATCAACATGCTCTTAGGTATTTTCTTAGGACAAACAGGTTTCATCTGTGTGAAGTAATGGTTATATGTAGGCTGCTGTCTTAATGGCACTTGAAGTATGTGTGGAGTTTCGCAGGCAAGGCAAATGAAGTCAGAGCTTTCTAGAGGATGTCATTGGCTTTGGAAACTCACTGGACTCAAGGTGCTCTTTGTCACAGTTTGTGCCCAAGATTTTCTGTGTTCCTCTTTATTATATTAGCTATAATTGAATCCTAAACCTCATTTCATCACGCTTTTTTAATGCCTCTCTTGCCACTTTTGTGGCTGGAACCAAGGTAGCTTAATGACCATGTGCTTTTCCTTTCCTGTTCTTCCTTATTTCTTTTTCTGGCACTTTAGCAGTGCAGTAGGGGCCCATGGACTCTTCCAACTCATTTAATTTCCATGATCTGATGTTCACTTATAATGCCATGACTTGAGGCAACAGTACCTGGGATTTCCAGATAGTCTTCTATCCAAGTCCTGCAGAGGCTCAAGATTGCTTAGTTTCTGATCTAGACAAGATCAAATAGATTCACGATGGATTACCAGAGGCTTTATGTTTGCATTCTCATCCACTTACCTACGTACATGTATTTATGTTCAAATACATACTTTTCTTTTTGTTAACTTCTTCAGGTCCTAATTTAAAAAAAATCTCTTCAAGTGCACGTTTAGTATATGAAGGACATCTATTAATGGAACAGTAAGTCTCTTACCATTATGAGTAGAGCAATTCATATGCTTAAAATGAAATGTGTGTTCAGATGGCCTCCTGGCTTGGAACAGCAGAGCAGAAAGGCAAACTCCTTTAGTGAGGCATGTTTGCAGGCTGCTGGCAGGTGTGTGCGCTCTCCTGTCACTGCTCAATAATGTTCGATAAAGTTAAAAAAAAAAAAAAGTTGCCAAACCAAATCCTCAGTCCTATAGAACTGGTATTGTTGTCAGGTGCTTTGCATGCTCCAGAGTTGAGAGCTCAGAGCGTGGAGCAGGTGCTCCCTGAGGGACCCTGACCACACAAGCACCTGTCTGGGCGGTGGTGAGTGCTGGGTCCTCCACCCGCCCTGCCCGTTTTGCACTCCTACCTTCTGTTGAAGGTGTTCCTAGGCATTTGCCATGCAGTTCATGGCTTCAACCCTGACTACTTGCAGATGAGCAGCAATTTGCTATTTATTCTTTCATTCACTTCAGTGTTGCCAGTATTCCTTTTCCTCTTCCCTTCCGCCCAGAACAAGGTGTTTCTGCCATGAAGCTTAACTTTGTTTATGGCCTTGTCTAAAAAGTGGAACTGAAATGGTGCTCCAGTTCTCTGGGAACAACACTGTCTCTTTTTAGCATATTCTCTAGGTTTTTCTTCTCTTAAGTATGTGTCAAATTTGGAATTAATTGGCTTTGCAAGTGGTCACTAATCTTCCTTCTGATGCTAGTTAATGGAATTCATTGACACTTTATTGAGACAAATACCATTATCCTAACACAGGCATTTTTGAAAATATTGAGGAACTGTTACACACCATAACTGTTCTGTTCAGCCTCTTAAAGAGCCTAAGGAAGCACAGAAAATGCCAGTAGTTTTCAGTAACTGAGGAGAGCAGTTGGGGAGGTACATTTTGTTTAGATGGAGGAATTTATTGGTTTTGACTATCAGATAATAAATAGCACGTGAACAATTCTGTTGGATTTCATGTGACTACTTGTGCATAAATATCACCATGTACTTTATTGCTTTCCTCAGTTTAAGGTCCAGAACTGCATCTTTGTGGGTATAGTCTTTCCTAGACCCACAGAAAAGCACCATATGTCTTGGCCCTGTAATAGGAGTACTTGCTGAAGCATTAAAATCCAACTTATAAAAACTTCCTTGAACTTTTTTCCCGTGATGAATTCAAAGCACATCTTTTACTTAGGAGAAAGTGGAAGGAAAAAAAGAAAGACAGCATCTGACTTTCTCCACAGGGGCAAGTCCCCAGTGTTTTTGCTCTTGCCTCACTTTGTTGCTTGGCTGTAGTTTTCCCATGAGTAGGTAATCTATGGGTTACCTCAAAGTTTAAAATTTTGAGATGAGTATTGATTAGAAAGTAAGGCCACATGCATTTGCATTCTATTACTTGGTGACCTTATAAGCTCTAGGGTGTCATTTTATGTAGCCAATATTCATGGTAAACATGTTTACATTTTACTTCCCTCTTCTTGAAAATAATGACTTTCTTTTATTTCTTCAAATGTTTGTCATTGATTCTGGAGTGCAAGAAGGTTTGCAGTGCATGAGAGTGGGCAGAAGTGCAATCTGTACTTGTTACCTTCAAAATTTAATCAGATTGACAGAAAAGGTTGTTATGGTGTATGGCTTTTTTTTTTCTAAATGAAATCTAGGCTTTGTCTGCACAGAAAATTCTCCTGGAATAAGATGAAGTGGCAGTTAATATACCAGTACAACTGCTTACCTGGTTGTCCTTATTTCAGTACAGCACTGCTCTTTTTCTGATAGCTTGTATTTCTTTGCATAGCTTCTACCCTGTAATGAAAGTGAGCTGAACCGTTTTGCAGTTTCTATGGTAGTAGGGCCATGTCCTTAGCTTTGAAGAGCTTAATAGGCTGCAAATGTGTTAACTAGTATGTCCAGTGTTTAATCTTTCCTCTCTGCAACTCTCTTGGTGCCCAGACACATGATTAAGATATCATTTAGCAAGTAGTCTGCTTTACTCTGCATACACCATGAGCAATTAATGTGGTTTGGGGTTATTGGTTTTGGTGGTGTTGTGTTTTTTTGGGGTGGTTTTTTTTTTTTTTTTTAGACTAACCCTCTCTTTTTTTGCAGGTTAAGCTGTGCTTTCAGGCAGTTACTGCAACTTAGCTGGCTGATAATAAACTGTTAACTGTTTAAACCACTGTTATTTCATCATGTGTCTGGACCATCAGACACAAGGCATTTAAGCACCACCTAAAGGAATCGTCATTTAAAAGTATCATGTAAGCTCAATGTAATTCAAACAAGTACAATCTGTGTGTATGAGGAGGAGATGTGGATGCTTTTAAGAAGCAGCATCTGCTTTATAAATACAAGCTATGAAAGGCTTCCAAATGTCCCCTCTGTTCGTCAAATGTGAATGTGATCTTCTCCTAGGAAGCCATCTGGAGTAGGCAAGCTACAGTCGCTGCCTCACTCAGTGCCATTGTCCTATCTGTGCCTCAGAGTGACTTGTCTCGCTACTGTACACTCAATATTAGTGATGGTTTCATGGGTCTCTTTGAATGTCAAGTTTGTTGCTACGCTTTGGTGCATCATAAAAGTATTTTGTTTCCAATGTGCTGGGTTTTTTTTTGTTTTTATGAATTTTTTTTTCCTGCTTTCCCCATAGAAATATTGTGAAAGGAATGAGGAGTCTGCGAGAAATACTACGGACTGTGGAAACAAAAGCTACTCAAACCTTCAAAATGGTAAGGGGAGTGAATGGGAGATGGGAAGGTTGGATAATCTGCTGTGCAGATGATTATCTCTCTGTTTATTAACCAGTACAGTAGGACAAAAATGTATTTGTCCTTACTTGATTGACTGCTGCTTTTTTTTTTTTTTTTACACTTTTGGAAGTGGTGTATCAAGTAATGCACTTAATTCAAAGACCTGCCCAGTTGAAACCTGCGAGCCTTCAGACCTGGGCATGTGTTTTACTTTGGGGTTTTTCCAGTGCATTTTCTAGCCCTGGTAGAAATAGGGATGTATTTAGCTTGACAGTACTGTTCTCAGGTGATAATGTCTTCTTTTCTTTCTTGTTTTAAAGTGTTTGCATGCACACCTTTTTGTGTTTGCATGTAGAAGTATTAAGTACTTCTGGTTCTTGCAAAACAAGCAGTGCTTTTTTTAGATTCAAGTGCTTCAGTGTTCTTCCTGTAAAACTCCCTTCAGTACAGTATAGACTGATTTTTATTTTTTTTAATTAAGTTTTTGTTGGTGTTGGCATTTTGCATCCTGTTATCCTGAGTGCCTCTGGTAAAGAGATCATGGGGAAAGTTATTTATGTGCCTGTTTAACTTCTTAGACCTTTAACTGGTTCTTCCCTGTCTCCCCTTTAAGAGATCTTGTCCTGAAGTTACTGAGGAAGTGACAAGGTCAACAGCATGGAGAATAGCAGTCTTCAGAACACGAATGAAAACTTTGCAGCCCTAAAAGCACTGACATTGATACAACTAAACTTGTTTTGTGCTTGGTTCATCTTTGTGTTTTGTGTAATTCCAGAGAAGTTTGGCAAGTAAGGTGGGCATGGGTTTGCATAGCATTTTGGAGATGGAGAGTGACAGGTTCCAATGGGTGGGCTGACGGTGTGTCTAGCTCATATCCAAATGCAGGGATAAAATGAAAGTGCGAGCAGAAAGGATATCCCGGGTGCTTTTTTGCCTAGGTTCCTCACATCTGTGTATTTGGGAACTTGTGTTCTGGAAATGAATGTTCTCGTTGCCTTGGGATTACCTTATGCCTAATTGAGAATACAGATGCATGTAAAAGTTTGTGCAGGGAATTACAAGAGGTGACTTAAATAATTGTCACACTCAAATGGTTGCATCCTTTTCCAGATTGAGATCAAGGTTCAGGGGATTTTTCTTGTTTGCCTGTTATCATTTTGCTGAAATGAGTCTAACCATCTGCTGTTCCTGTACCATGACAGAACGTGGCACTCAGATGCCCCTGTCCCTGTGCAACTGGGGAGAGCTGTAGAACATCCCTGTGGATTTATCCCTAAGGGGAAATCTGAACGTGTTCATCCAGTAGTTTTTCCTGGGATTTCCATTTTACAGGAAGCTGCATTTTCATTTTCTTACTTATTTTTAAAGAGTTGTCAAGAGGGCAAAGGGAGGAATGTGCTTAATTAAACAAGTTTTTCAAGCATGAAAGTGAAACACTTTTTTTTTTCTTCTTCTTAATTTGTGGGATCACAGTGTTCTTCAAGCATAATGATGCTTTTTTTAGCCAAAGGCAGTAATAACATAAATCAGCATTTTGGCCTGTTCTGATTTGTTTGGTCTTATTCAAAACAAGAGTGAAGCTAATTTACGCAGCTACTGTACTGTATGTTAAAATCAAAAACACTAAAAGTATTTGGTGCTTGCCTTTTGAAAGGCTTATCACAAACTGTACTCCTACTTCTGTGTGAACTGTTAGAGATCTTTCTGTTGCTGGCATATTATTTTTCCCTCCCCTCTAAGACTGTAGGATTTTTTCCAATAAGAGAGTTGGTTCCTCAGGGTAAAACTGACTAAATAATTACACACTGAGACGATAAAATGATACTGGCTAATGTTGGCGGGCCCTAGGCCATTTTGCTCATGGTTACTTGCTATAAAAAGCATAGAAAAGCCTAGTTAAAAAAGAAGGCTTTCTGTAACTTGTCAGTAGGAGTGCACAGAAGCTCTTGGGGTTCCCAGTGAGTTCTGTGTGACAATATTTCTCTGAGGCACCGTCATACATTTCAGATCACTTTGCCATTTGCTAGGTGCATCTATGAAACCTCCCTTTCTGGTGTTTAAGAAACAGAGCACACTACTGTGGTTGCATCTTAGAGTAATTCGGTGAATTCATGTGTGGTGAGGTGGATGAAAATAAAGCAGCTTGCATCAAAAGAAGTTATTTTTCTGAATCTGATAACAGGAACTTTAACCTCAGTATTATTTATTTGGTCCTGTAAATTTCATACCTCCAGTGGAGTAAAGCTTCAGTTTATCATACCTATCCTGGTATTTAAAAGAAAATGACACATCTCAAAGTGTAAATTGCATATAAAATACATATGCAGTAGTCAGAGAAGTTCCAAAAGAATATTTACGAGTATTAGGACAGAAGGGCTGAAGTTTCAGCCTGCCTCTGTTCTGTGCAGTATTTACTTTACAGCTTAGAGTGGCATGCTGCTTAGAATTCACACCCATTTTGATGTGTCTCTGCTTGTTTGCATATTCATCTATGTACAGTGCAAAAAATTAGAGATTGGGTGGGTGGGGGGCAAGAACAAATGGCAAAGATAGTTTTGCAAAGTCAAGTTAACTTGCCCCCTTTTGGGCCAGGTTGCCAGCTATGTGTGTGATCTGGAAAACAAGTATTTAAGGATCCTTGGCCACTCAGTGATCAAACAAGTGATGCGATGTTGCTGTCTCAATATAAAGTTCCTAACCCTGTTCTCTCCTCCTTCCATTATTGCAACGATAAGAGAGAAGCAGTACTGAGATGAAGCTATAAAAGGCTGCAGGAAGAGTGATATTAACAGATAAAGGGTTGACGTTTTAAACCTAATACAAAAGTAGCCTCTGAGCTGAGACTTGCATACAAAATTCTGAGGCTGAGAACACAGTGGAGTGCCACCATACTCTAATACTGTAACATTTCTGAGATAGTCTCACCAGTTCATGTGGCAGTCGGTTCTCTTCATTCACCAGAGTATGCCTTGCTGCCAGGCCTTTTTGATCGTTTTTTTCCTACAGCATTGCAACAAGACCATGTAAATGCAGAAGGCTGGCCTTTTCAGAGGAGGGAAGAAACTGCCATTGCTGTAGACTTTTTAGTAGCTCTTTTACCTGTTCTAGCTTTCTAAAAAGTGGTACTGTCATGTTGTTGATACATCTTCTTCACAAGGTGGAACATGGGGTGGGGTGAACTTTTGTATTGGAGAAGGCTTCACTGATGTGTCTTTTTCTGTGCTGTTCACTGATCTCTAGACTGCAGCCAAACAGCTAGCCCAAGTACTTCTCCATTCTCTCAGTGAAGACTGTTACTGGAGCCCTTTATCTGATCCGCTTCCTGAGTTCATGAACAAGGAAGATCAGTCTTATGTTAGCAATCTTCTTTGTCGGAGGCCCGAGCTGTACACAGAAGAGAAGTGAGTGTTCTTTTTTATTTCAGTTTATTTGCAGGAGGAAGGAGAGTGTTTGAACGCTGTTTGGTACTGCTAAGTATGTCACTGATTCATGTAGTAGTTTTGTGTATTCTTGTTTTTAACTTCCCATCAAAAGGCCTGCTGGAAAAATAAAGCATTAAACCTTGAGTGTTTGATTATTATTTTTTTTTTTCCCCAGCAAGGAAGAAAATACAACCAAACAGCTGTCTTTAGATTATTTCTATCTCATAGCATTTATGTTTCAGTATAGCTCATCTAGGATATATTGCAGAGCTTTTAATTGTGAGAACCTGCAAAAGAAAGTATTGCCTAGCAAATGAATTATGCATGAGATGTTTCAAGTTACTGTTCCTCTTGTGAAATGAGAAAGAGGCTGACGGGATAATTCTTGACCTTCCTCAGAAAAATGTGTTCTGTCTTTCAGTGCGTACTGCCCTCAAGACAACGTAGAAGAGGCTCTTCTTCTCCTTTTAATCAGTGAATCCATGGTAAGCCAAAAATGAGTTTGTAATACTAATAGCAAAAAGGAATATCTTGTGTTTCCATGTCAAGTCTTCTGGTTGGTTTTGTTTACAGAATCTTCCCTAGATAAACAGAAGCAAGGATTTGGCTACTGAATAGGAAATGCTATTTATACCTTTATTAGTGACACCACTTTTATTAAATGGAATGGCAGTGAAGGATTTTAGGAGTTGTCAAGAAGAGGAAGTGCTGCATGCAGATTCTGACATCCAGATACATTGTCAATAGACTGATTTTTTTCCATAACGTCTGTGTGGATTTATGGGTCAAGAATGGGAGGAAGGGAGCCTCGCCTAAAGCCAGGCATGATGGTGGTACCCACTGTTTGGCATTTGCAAGGTACCATATTCTTCTTACATTCCTTAGTCTGCAGGAATAATATTTTAGCCATTTCAGTCCTGAATGATCTTTTGCAGTTTCTGATACTGATGATACAGGGAGTTCTATCTCATGCAGAAACATCCATAATGAACTGCAGTGAAATAATTTGATCTCTTCTATTTGTAACATCAGTTATAATGGGAAGGGAAAAAGGTGGAGAAAAACTACTGCATGGAAAACTGCATAGTAACCTTTGGTCACTGTCATCTTCTGAGAAGACAGAAACATACGGAAAATGTGTAAGGAATGTTTTCTGAAAACATGTAAGGAAAGTTACTTTCCTTTAAATACTGGGTGGTCACTTGTAGATCAAAGTGAGATTTGAAAATCTTGGACCATCATTGACCGTTTTAGAAACTTTTAAAACAGTTTTCAGACAAGCTAAAAAGAGATAGTGTGGAAACTTTGTTTTGTTTTTTGCTTCCTTCAGCTTTTCTTTGTCTGGTTCTTCTGGCTCAAGTCCTTCCCCTTTCCTGCAAACCTCTTCAGAACATGGCAATTTAATATTATTTGCTTTCAAAATTTGGGGAAAAATTGAAGAGGCATAACCACCCCCATAATTTAAATACTAAATTGACTTAATCACATACATCTGAGTGTTACTAGGTGCTTTTTAGTGCTTTCTAGATTAAAAGATTTCTACTGGTACATCTAACTACATATACTACTAGATTTATGCAGTACATCTGCTTTGTTTTTTCAAGGGCTTTTGTGCAGCTAGAAGGGCTTTTTGTAGTTGGAAGTGGAGACTCCAGGAGTGAGGTCTTGTAGAACACCACATGCACTTCTGTTAAAATCAGAACTCATGTCGGCGTTGCTCGTCAGGGCTGATCCAAGCAAGAAGAGGATCAGGGGTCCAGAGCAATGACAGTACTGGCTGCTCCAGCCTTTTCTGGGGCTGGACTTGCAATCGGAAAGGCCTTGTGGGACCTTGAACTCTGTAATTTTGTTCTGCTGACGTGAATGAAAGTTATCCCTGGTTTAGCCAGTAGTGCATAAAATGGTGAACTGGCCTTGTAACTAAGTTAGGGATGAAGCAGTGTGAAAACACTATTGATAAAAACTGGACTGCTATGCTGACTACAAGGCTAAATAAATAAGCTTGTGTTTGCTTAAGTACGGTCTTCTATATATAGGAACTTTATGGAGGTAGATGCAAGGCATTTTGACCTGCTGCATATAAAGCACTCAAATAATCAAAGATCCTGTAGTAGAGCGCTGCAGGGAACCATAACTGTCTTTCCATTTTTTGGGGAAAAGAAGCATCTGAGTTTTCCTCTTGCATTAGCAATAGGCTTGCCATGAGTTTATTGTTTTAACAAGAATACAGGACAAGTCTATAGAAATACAGCTGTATATAGAAATATACTTAGGAACCACAGGAATGTGCTTCTGAAGTGAAGGAACAGAGAGCGCCATCTGATTCTTACAAATATTTGTAATCCATAAATATTTTCCTGGAGTTTTACTGTTACCGTACTAAGAAGGGGATATTTTGTTTAATTTATGACATGAAATATCTTTTCCATGACTGCTTCATTGTAGGCTACTGAGTTTTCTCATGTACAGGTTTGTTGTTTGTTTGAAGTTTTTTGTTTTGCTTTTTAAGACTTGCTCTGAAGCTCACGGAAAATGAGTTGACAAGAAGCAGATTTCCAGTTGAGGTCTCCCTAATGATACAATGTTAACTTACTAAAACATATTTTCCTTCCTGGAAAGAGCGTCAGTGGCGAGTGCTAACAATCAGTTTCTGTAGGCCAATAAGCAACATAGTTGGTGTTCCTGGATTTTGGCTGGATTACGCATTCTTTCAGTATTTACAATTATGAACCCCGTAAAATGAAATAGAAGTATACAATTAGGTTGGCTTGCTGGGAGCTCTCCAGCTTCTCTGCCACTTTGATTGCTCTGTCAGAGCAAAACTCAGCAGAAAGGTACTTATCTTGTCTGATTTTTAAAGGAACAAAAGAGCAACCATGCCATTATAATCCTTTTGCAGGACTGTAAAGCCAAACAGCTACTCCACATGCCTCTTCCTGACTTTTGCCACTCCAAAATGAGCTCAAGGGGGACAAAATTGGAGGGAGGAGGGACAGAAGAATTTTCAGCATGGGGAGGGGACACAGAGCAAAGATGTACTCGAGAGGAGCATAAATCATCAGAGAACCTCAAAGTAAATATGTGATAAAATTTATGAAAAGGAGACATCGTAGCCTTTTCAAGAAATATACATCTGGAGCAACCCTGCCCCGCCCTGAGCCATACAGGGAGGGAGTAGGTCAGTACTAGGTAGCTTGCTGCTGAAGTTCACTCTATTCTGCTTGTGTTGCCTTCCTAAGGTGAAGTTAACATCTACTTCACCAGGATCTGTGCAAGTCCCCAGAAGGTATTATGGGGGTTACAAGAACCGTTCCTGTAATGGGGAAAGGAAGAAAAACTGCCTTTAAGGTGCTGTAAGCCAGACCCTGCATTCCAGCACACCTCTAGCTCTTACTGATCCTCAGTTCTGGCTTGTGATGCTGCCCCAGCTTTTCTTCTTATCCCTTTACCTTGCATTGGAAGGGAGACACTTTGCATGTTCTGGTGGGATGAAATGAGAATATCTTTTAAAGGGGTAATTAAGGGTTCCTTCAGTATTTCACTCACTCTACCTCTGAGCCTAAATATGTAGAAGTTTTTCAGATGGCCATATAACATGGTAGTCTCTGTCATAGCTTTGAAGATGTTTCTGTGGGTATATCAACAGAGTGAAAGCTTGACGGCTCTTTCCTCGTGGCACTCTTCTAAGTTGCCTCCTATATTTTTTCTGTCCCATTGAAAATAATTTAACTTTCATGAGCCAAGGCATCTCGGTAAACAATGAAAAGTATCTTGGTTGTTGAGTTTGGCAAGTGCTCCTCCTCTGTGCCAGCTGTTACTTAGTCATGGTGATTGGCTGTAGAGTTCTCATGAAGGAATCTAGTGAAACAAATCAAGCAGCCTGAAGATTACCACAGTCAGGGCTGTCTTTAGTGGGGTTTGTGGCCTCCTGGCTAAATTCTCATTCCTTATGCGCAGCCTGAGTTATGATATGGATGGGCTGCATTTGTGAGAGGAGGAAAATGCTTTCCTTCAGACCAAGAAGGCCAGCTGGTGACAGCCTTTACAAGTTCAGGCTGTGGTAGAATGATGTGTTCCTATCACATGTTGGAAAAAATGGACTGGCCTATTTTTAAACCACTAGTCCTCTTTCTCATTGCATTTAACCTATCAAAACCAGTGGTGCTGTGTTTGTGGGGAGAACCAAGGGCATATTGTGACTTGTTGCAGAGTGGTTTCTCTGCATCGTGTTACCAGTGGGCATGGCACTGGTTCTGCCATCAGGGATTCTGCTTCTTTGTGCTGTAGGGCGTAGGCAAGGGAGGTTTGGCAGGACTAACCCTTAGCTGGAGTTTTGTTTATTTTAATAACCATTCTCAGGAGTAGTCAGAGTTGATTGCACTGCCCCGTAGTCAGCCAGAAGTTTCTCAGAGCCACTTTTTGTGTTTACTTTTGAGGTTTTAAAAAAAAAAAAAAAAAAAAAAAAAAAAAAAAAGGAAGGGTTCTTTGTTTGCACTTAGAAACCTTGCCTTCTTCTTGAATCTGAGATTCAACGTACAGTGTAAAATCCCTTTATTCAGCCCTTGGCAATGCTGGCTCTTATAACTCGGGATTCTGGCTAGTGTAGTCTACCAAACATACCAGGTAACATGGATTATTTTTTTTGGCTCTGTGTTCACTTCACTCATACTGAAAATGAAGCTCCTTGTATCCAAAACTAATAAAATCTGTGCCTGTGTAACAAAGATTAGAAATGTCATCTCCATCTTATCTCTGATTTGAATCCCTAAAGGCGATTTGACCTTGGAGAGCCTGAGAGCACAGAACAGATGGTGAGGGGGAAGTAAGATCCTGGGATTTGTTCTGTTCTTTTTACTGGTGAGAGCAAACTCATGGCTGTGAGCATGCCTTTAATGGAATAAGATTAAATCCCTGTATTTTTAAGCATGGAAATAATTAAATTCTGTTAGCTCTACAGTTCCTAGCTTTATAAAATAAGTCTGTCTAGCAAATGGGTTGGCAAAGGAGAACCTCTTGTTGCCTTTTTTTTTTTTAATTACACCAAGCCCAGTGATGTTGCAACTGCTGGATGACCATCATGAGTATTTTCTTGAGGGCTGTTGGACTATGGCAGCCGAAAGAGATAACTGGGGACAGGATTGCCTGCTCTGTTGGTTCCTGCCAAATCACGGCCATGCACCTACAATAGCAAGCCCCACTGTCTCCTTAACTGGTCTGCAAGGCAAAGCTATGTGTTTGGGACCTGCAAAGGAGGATTGCAGGATGTTTCTAGTGGGAAATCCACCACCTCTGTTAATTGCCTCTTGAATAAATAGTTCTAATGTGAGTTGCTGGAGACAGGATAGAGAGCTTTTTTGTTTCTGCTTTGCAGTAGAAGTCTTGTTTCTGAACTTGCAAAGATGATGCAGATTCTTGGAAGAGAGCTTTCTAAATGGAGATTACTGATAGCAAATATGTGACTTTGTTACCCAAGACAGTATTGATAAACAAACTTCATTACTTTCTCCCCCTCTCTCCCTTTTGTGTAGGATTGCTGAGCTGTTTTGCCTGTGGGCGGTATGTCTGTCTTGCTTTCAGTAATGTTTCCAGAATTAGCTCTGCTACAGTACAAGATGTTAAAATATACCTGGTGAGGGATCAAATATGACCATACAGATATACCTTATAACCAATAATAATGGGCTATTTTACTGAGACATCTGAATGGGGTACCAGTAACTTGTGATCTGTTGCCTACCAGAAATGAGACAGATGCCCCACAGTTCACAAGGCAGTAAGTTTTCATTAGCTGTGCTTCTGGTTTGAAATGGATCAAGTTGTTTTATCTCTGTAAGAGCAGTTTTGGGAGTGGCTGGAGTATGGTATTTCCTCCCTGTTCTGCCTGCTTCCATTTTCACAGCAGCTTTGCAGTGAACCCTGAATATGTTCTTTGTCTGTGTTAGTGAGGGGAACTTTCAAGTGCTGTTGTTGAGATCACCAATAACTTAGGTGAAATGGGTCCTTGCCATTGCAAAGAATTCATTCATTTTGTTGGCCGTACAGGCAAAACAGCCAGAATGGAGATCCAAAGGACATGGGCTAAATATTTCCCAGCTTTGAGCAGTAGAGGCATCAATTGCACGATTTCAAAGGTTTGTTGTCAATCTTGCATACATAACATTTGTTTTTCTCACTTAATGCTAGTATTGAATCACACCAATTACATTATTACAGTACACTGTGTAAAACATGCTGCTTTTCTGTATAGATGGGTTGCAGTGGATCTGGCAATTATGTCTATTATAAAAAGACACAAGTCGAACATTAGAATACCCATGAATTAGGGGACAGGCAGCAGGCACTCATTAAAGATTTTAATTGCTTTCTTTTTCTTCTTTGGAAAAAAAGCAGGGGGAGCTGTGTTTCAAAGTGAGCAATTAAAGGATGCTTCATAGCTAATTGCTGTGAGAGGGGGCTGCTATGTGGAATGTGCTCTACTGTAATTCGTATGTTTGCTTCATGTTTTATTAAGAAGCACATCTTTGTACTGCAGTAAAATTTAATTTTCTGCAGCGTAACTGTGTGCATAATAACTGCCGAAATAACGGCCGTTTGCTGTGACTCTTTTCCTTTCCACATGTAATAAACATGCCATAAAGAAGCTGTAATTGTTAGGGTCATTGATGTACAGCAAATCCTCCGTGTATAGGAGACTTATATAGTTTGCAGGTAAGTATATTGTATATGTGGATAGGAAAGCACAAGCTCAGCAGGGTCGTTAGTTAAATTGCAGATCCCCAGAAAGTCAGATCTCTTCCCTGCTATCAGAGCCAGCATGGGTCTGAAAGTCCCATACAGTTGTATTGCTGCCGATTGGAGCCAGACTTAAAAAGCCCTGATGTACCCCAGCCAGTTCTGTACCCCCCCCACAGGTTCTGTGCCTGGTCAGGTTGAACGCCGGAGTTGGACTTCAAGCGTGATACAGAGCCATCACAACGGCTGAGCGCTAGGTCGACTCGGGGGTGCCAGCTGGGCTGGGGCCTTTTGGATGTATGTGGCCTGGAGGCGGGCTGTGTCCCTGGGCTGCGGAAAGGGAGGGCTGAAGGCGCTCGCTGTCCTGTGTGCTGCTGGGTCTGGGCTGACTACAGCTTGGGTCTTATCTCCCCAGGTAGGATTGGTGTCACATCCGAGCCACCTGCATGCACAGCTAATTGTGTCTAATGCATGCCAAAATATGCAAATGTGGTGCATCTCTGGGTCGCTCCATTATCTAGAAGTACCTCAAATAAAGGGGCATTGACTGTATAATTTTGCTCTGTGTAATCCAAGTTATGCTAACTCCCAATGGTGAAACTCCTTTTGGTAGTATTAGTGACCTTCTCCATCCCACACAACAACCTTGAACAGAGGTTCTCTCCTTTTAATGGTGACTCATCATCTCTCCCCGTCCTGCTTGTGTGCTGTGAGGCATGTGTGTGTGACAATGGGAACAGCTTAAAGGGAAGAGTCATACTGGGGGTGTTGAAAATGTAATTGTAGCTATGTTTTACTGGTGCTTATAGTGGAGGAGGAGGAAGTAATGGAGTAGGACAAATTGGGGATTGCTGCTTATGTTATTGATGCACTGTTTGGAGATCAGTGTTCTACAAATAGTCCTTCTTCCATTTGTGTTCAGAAAAATAAGTGGTCTGAAACAACAGAAACACGGGTATTGGAACAAATGTTGGTGTAAATGTTTAGAATTAATGCATTCTCAAATGCAAAATAAAATATCTCTCTCTGTACGTTTCAGTAAGTAAAATTCCCCACCCGACAGAACAAGTGTATACCATGATGCAGTAACTCTACAACTATTTTGCACTGGTACTTATCAGCAACTGTCAGGATTTCTTACTGCCAAACTGAAGTTTACAAAAATACAAACAAAGGTGAGACAAAAAAATTGGCTAATGGTGCTCTGGGTCACAGTACCTTTCCTTCTGTGAGAGGCTGGCCACAGAAACATGCCAGTTTCCCTGAGGTGGGTTTCAAGAAATAGTGAATCACGTTCCCTTCTCCACCCTCTTGTACTACTGCAGTGTTACATACGTGATATCTTGAGCCTTGGGATGATGAATTACATTGTTGTGTTAGACACGCCATGTTCTTGCCACTGTTCAGTCGGTTTGATATGAGGTTTGCACCTTTTGGTTTTGGGGTGGTTTGCCTTTTTTTTAATATATATCTCTGATAATGTGGGAACTCCTTGACTTTTTTTTTTTATTTTTTTGAGCAGCTGGAATTGGCAATTGGAGATCGGTTCAGTATTAAAACAATTGTTGGGACAGAAGTGATGATGAATTTGTTCAGTGGCAAGTCTTACGCATGTGCAAATATAGGGAGTGATAGATTGGAGAGACCTATGGCTTTGAGATTTGAAAGATTGAACAAAATAAGCAGGTTTATGACCTTCTTGGAAAGAATGTTAGTCATGCCTATGCATATGTTGTTTTTAACTGCTGACCGTTTAGCTAAAATGTGGTATGTACAATATCTTCAGTATGACTGCAATTTTAGAATGTTGCATCTTTGTAATACGTCTAATATTCTTGATTATTGCTAGATTTGGGCATGTTCTCCCCACTAGTACCAGTACTTGTTAGCAGATGTTAATGGACACTTGCCAATTCTGATTAATTTTCTATCTGTGCTAATGCATCAACTTAAAAATCATAGCTTGGTACTAGATGGATACCCAAAAAAGTATCAGGCCATAGCTGACTCTAATGGGAGGCTGATGATGAGATTACAGAGCATGAGGGTGCTATCTCAGTAGCTATTTTCCACAAATAATTGTCATAACAATGTAACCAGTGCAGAAAAAAATGTTAATGCTGTTGTATATACGTAGGAGGATTCACTAGGCAATAGGATCGCTCTGTATATGCTTTGTCTTTTAACTCTCTGAAGTAGCAATCTCAGAATTATTCTTTATATGCCTTCATTTTAACTCCTTTTTTCCTTTTAAAGTAGCAGTCTTGGGTTAAATCTAAACAGAGCTTAAACATTTTTTATTATTCTTATTTGTTTAGTTCTGCTAATAAAGGTAGATGAGCAATGCTTCTGTACTCTGGTTGCAGGGTTTCTCTTTGAAGTCGGTTTCATTCTCTCATGCAACCTATTGTCTTGAACTATTTTTTTAAATCACAAATTACGTCTTTTGAATTAACATGAAAAAGAAAAACACTTTTGTGACTACAAGAGCCGTTGTAAGTTTATTTGTGCAAACACTAGACTGAGTCTGACCTGTCAGTTTACCTTGAACTGCAGTTGCCATTTAGCTCTTGGTTGTGATTGTGTTAGTTGTCAGTAATTGTGTTTGCTGTCTCGGCTGGAGGCTGTGATGAAGAGTGCTTGGAACTGGGGCACTACACAGATAATACCATGATGAAACATCTGCAGCTTGATCATAATGAAATATGTGTGGGCTTTAAGGGCTGCATATTCTGGAAATTTTTATTACACTTAATTCCCCCGTTTAACCTTTTTAGGGAAAAAAATAATATCTCCCTGCAATTAGAAAGAAATAGATGTAAAATTAGAGCAGTAAGTATTATAATTATCGAGGAAATGGAATCTGGTAGATCTGTTTCCTAACACTCTAATTCTGTGAAACAAATCTAGATAAGATATTTCTCGTAGTTCCTTTCTGTAGGTACAGCTATCTTCTTGAGTTTGCTTCTTGTGGATAAACAAGATAAATTCTATGGAAACACCTTCCTTATGCTGGGAGGAGTTTAAAAAAAAAAAATCTCGAGAGGATTTTAAACAAAAAGCCACGGATGATGGGTGGAACTTCATATGGAGTCGTCGGTGCTCCCTTGCTCTTTTGCGGTCTGATGCTCCATTTGTGTCTGTGTCCAGGCAAACCGGGATGCAGTGATCAGCCGAGCCCCAGACCAGCAAGATGACCGAGCTGTCAGCCTCCGGGATGCTTCTGCAGTCTACGACCTCCTCAGCATCACGCTGGGCAGAAGAGGGCAGTATGTCATGCTTTCTGAGGTACCTCCTCCTGCCTTCTGCTGAAACTTCCACTTGAAACATGCAAGCAAAGCCTGTCTTAGCAGTAGCTTGCTGGGGAAGGTTGAAAATGAAGCACACTGGTAGGCAATTAGAAACTGCTACAGACCTATGGCAGCACAGGCCAGAAATGTGCACAGAACTGTTGGAGATGTTAAAATAATTTATATGCTATATTTTTATATTTATCCTTGTACAAAGTGGCTGTCGTTTGAAGTGATGGTGTATGCTAGCAAGCCCTGTTAACTGAGAAGAGGAAAATTATGTCATTAAAAAAAAAAAAATCAGTCTTGGCAAAAGATATTTTAAAAGAAGTCTGACATTTCTCCCAACATTTATTTCATAGTGCTTGGAGAGAGCCATGAAGTTTGCATTTGATGAATTTCACCTCTGGTACCAGCTTGCCCTGTCCATGGTGGCTTGTGGAAAGGTAAGGTTCAAACCAAAGGACTTAGAAAGGACATGTTTTCCTCTGGCAGAGTGTATCTAGCTTACTAGTTTGAATGTGCACCGTCATGTATTGTGTCAGGGTAGGTGCTGTCAGACAGCTATGTAGAAGAATAGTGCTCTCCTTTTAGACTGATTGCACTTTGTGATCAGGTATGTGCATTTGGTATTGAGTACTGTTCTTTCCATGTGGTGTTTGCTTCTCATTATCAAGGAGAAAACAGATTTTGTGCATAGCTGTGGATTGAAAAGCATTATACAGCTGTCCATTCTCTGCAGGTTCAACATAAATATGCCTAGCATAAGAAAGATACTGATGTCTAAAACTGTCATCAACTCATTCTGTCTTTGGGCAATTGACTTAACATCTCTTTAAGCTGTGGTTTCTCTATTTGATCAAGGAAATGTTAAAGCTTTTTATATAGAGCTTGCAAGGATTAATATTTTTTAAGTGCTTGGTGCAAAAGATACCGTAGAAAAAGAAATTATGTGTGAATGTTTGCGTGGGCCTGTGTTTTAGCATAGGGTTTGCTTTTTCTTTTTTCTTAAATTAGTATACTATTTGTGAAAGTTTTACCAGTTGACCATTGAGATCACTGACGTCTGGTTGCAAAAGGTAGGCAGAGGCAGCATGGGCTTTTCTTTATTTGTCTTAAAAGAGTAGACTTCCTGCAGGAAACAAGGATGGTACAAAATTTAGCTTGTTCATTCTGGGAGTCCCCACCTACACTTTTAGGAGGTGTGAGCAAATTAATGCCATGCCATGGTAGACCACTTAACATGATCCTATATTTCATGCTCGTGGAGAGTAGGGGAATCCATATCGAACTGGGAAGAGACCACCAACTAGTAGTCATCTGCCAAATGATGACTTCCTCCTGGTCTTTTATGGCAATAAGCTGAATTGGAAACAGTGGCTTTGGAGTGGAAATAGGGGATGAACAGAGTGGCATAGTTTTGCAAAGAAATTGTCATCTTGTAATGTATAAGTGACAACAAAGCTTGGAAGATGTCTGAAGGGATTCCTTCACTTCTGTGAGTATAGGCAAAGCCTTATCTTGGAAGACTGTCTGTTGCTATGTATTATGCTTCAAGAAAATGTCAGCACAGCAGCGAAAGTCTAATAAAGAGCATCAAGGATGGCTAAGGGTATAGTAAGCAGGACTGTGGAAAGATTGAAAGAATTTAATTTTTTTTACCTTAAAGGGGAGAAGAAAGTCCAAGAGAGAAACAAGTCTTTAAGAGCTCTTAGAAGAAGGGGTTAATCTTGTCTATGATGGGTAGGACAAGATGTGATGGCTTCCAGTTGCAGCAACACAAGTTCATGTTTCCTATTAAGAGGCAAAAAAATAAGGATGATGGTACACTGGAAAAAGATCCCCTGTGGAGGCTGCATGGAGCCTGCATTACTGGGGATCTGTAGAATACCCTAGGCAAATACTGGTCAGCAGTGACCCCACTGTGAGGCACCAGGGGTGTACTTGTTAGGACCTTGCAAACTCTGACTCTGTTCTGAGACACCACACTTGACCTCATAAATTGGCTACATCTGTTATAATCGAAAGGAGACATCAAAACTTTGGTCAAAGCTTACTAGATCAGCAGGGAGCTGAAGGGAGATGTTTAGTAGTCTGCAAGCCTCTTTCTCGCTATAGGAGCTCAGTACAAGCATTTCAAAATCCAATTCCAAGTATGAAAATGGTGGCTAGACTTAATCATGTATTAAGAGAAACCTGAAGCTACTGGTGGAATACTTGAACAATGAGCTTGGTGCCATGGTGCTAATACCTTGCACTGGCCTATGTCAGGTGGGGGGTTTACAAGTCAAGTCCAGCTCCCCTTGGCATTCAGCTGGAGTTAGCACGTTGCTGCCCTCTGTGCCTTTGTAAATCCTCTAGATACCTGATCTCTTGATACTGAGGACAACAATGACTAGATAGGCTATGATGGAAAGGTGCAGTATCTTCCCATAAACACTCACAGGACTTGTCTAGGAGCTTTATTGGCTTTACAGGTTGTGTAACCTGTTTCTCAACAGCAAACAATGCTGTAGGGCTAGTAATCTGCCAGAGAGCAAATCTATATTTTAACTGCTGATGGTTGAGAGGGTGAACCACAATTACTCTCTGGATACACTCAATCTTAGGTTACTGGGGGGGAGAGAAATGGGGCCTTATTTTTAGCTTCTAATAATTTGCATGAGAACTCTGTCCTTCTCCTTATATGTTTGCATGCCTCTTCAGCTTCCCTAGATATTACTGAATATTTGGTACTTAAGAGAAAGAAAGAGCAGTGCAAGTATCTGTGTCTCTAGAACTATCCTATCTTTTCTGATTTTCAAGTATGTAATGTCTTTTTGCCTGTACTTTAAATATTTACAAGATAAAATAGCCTCATCTTGCCTATTGATGTAAAAGCTCTAAGTGTTCTGAGCTCTATGTGGGGCAGAGGGAATTCCCTTACCCAACAATCCCATCTGTGCAGTATTTCACTTCTAATCCCAAAGTATTCCCTGAGGATTCCTGTCATATACTCTGCAATGCGTCATCTTGCTAATGGGAGACGTGGCATACAATTTTATACTGCTTCACAGCTTGATAGCAGGATAGAGTTCATTTAAAAGTAAGTGCTCCAGTGTAGCAGAAAGAACTGATGAGAAAACAGTGTGGCTGTCTAGACTGCAGAATGCACTTGAGCTTTTATAGGTAGAAGATCTGTTTCCACCTGTCTCAGTCACAGCCAATTCCTGATCTCATCCTTGGTAATGAAATCTCATATCCTGCAGCGTTACTTGTTCTGCAGTACAGCATATCATGCTCATAAATCCTGGGTACGACAAGAACAGTTTTATCAACCTGTAAATGCTGGAAACTTTGGTCTCTCTTTTTTTAAATATGTTTTTGGGTTTTGCAATCTCTGACCTTCTTAAAAGTGCTGTAAAATCCTATCTTTCCCTCTATTCTACACTGTATTTGACTAGTATTACTTTTATTTTGTATATTCATCATCTTCAGGTTAAGTCAATCAAGTTGAACTTCAACCTATTTTCTTCATCTGCCAGCCAAGAAATTGCCAAATGGTGGGTGACTGTCATTTTTAAGAAGTCATCAGTCTGAATGTCAAGCCAGCCACCTCGGCTCATTACTGTTAAGTGTGCTTGAGTTTACACATTATTTTAAAAGGCATGTGTCTTAACAAAAATGGGCACATCACTTTGGTAAGTTCTTACAGAGCAAGCAAGGCCTTAGGGCTTCATAAAACAGTGAATGAAAAAGCTCAGAGAAGCATAACCTCCCTGTCTGTCTTTTATCCACTTAAGCAGTGGAAATAATGGAGTGACAGGAATTTCACTTTCCTGTGCTTCTCAACAACTTGCATAATGAGAAAGATGGTGTGGTCTGGTGGGTTTTTTTTGTTGTTTTTTTTTTAACCCATTCTTGGGGATGCATGTATACAGAGCTGTATATTTTCTGAACAAAGGGAGCATCGTTATTTCGATTATTAAAATCCACCATGAAATTCAAAAGACCTTTGTAGGCAATTATAGATGAAATGCTTGGAAAGCCTGATAATGGTAAAGACATGCCTGCTGTAGAAAGAATAGTGGGAGATGTCCTGTGTCACCAAGTGCAGTTCTGGATAGTCAAGAGAAATATTTAAATCAGTCTAATGCAGCACCCCTGTTCTTCTGAACTGGTGCTGGAAAACTGAATGTTAAACTCTTTACAGCTGCTTCAAGTTGCTTCTGCTAGTAATAACCTTCACAATGTGATAATATGACAGCCAGAGGCTGAATGGGCATAGCCGCTCCCTGGCTCTGCTGCCATGCATAGAGAGGCTGCAGTCTGAGTGGCGAGTGGTATGATAGCCGGATGCCATCTGGCAGAGTCCTCAGGCAATGAGATGAGCCACTGTCCTGCTGCCAGAGTAAAATGAGTGCAGTAGGTTGCATCTGCTTGTCTCAAGGTTTTTTAAAAAGTAAAGTGACCTGTATTCAGCAGAATGGGGAAAGGAAGGACCAAACTCTTAATTTACAGAGTAGAGAAGATGATGTAGTCATCTTAGCAGTGAAAAGAGGGACAACTGTTTGGGGCAAACTTGTCCTCTGCTGCTGCTTTTCACCTAAGCAGTTTCCACTGGAAGTCATGGAGATTACCAGCACACAGCACCTTAGCAGTCTAGGGTAGCTCTACCGACGGTAGAGCAGTCGACAGCTGCAGTTGGAGACAAAATGGTCATAGTGTCTAGGTGATGTTTTACAAGCACAGGGGATGTGAAATAGGGTCCCTGTGCACTTGCAAGCATTTCCCTGGCCGTGGACCAGTTGCATCAGTTACATGTTCCCTTGTTCAGGTTTCTGCCCCCTTCCACACCTAACAGCCTCACGTGGGATCCAGCCTTGGTGTCCCAAAGTGTCACTGGAGCTCTCTGGCAGTAGAGACTCAGAAGTGCATTGTGGGATTGGGCTCTAGCTTAAATTGACAGTACTTCAGAAAGTCTTTTAGATCTGCATTGTGAGTGTCTGTCTTACCTGTCATACTGCTCAAGGGAAAGATAAACTGATAAAATCTGTGCCTTGAGCAACGTAAGGCAACATTGGTGCCTCTCTTCTACCTACCAACCAAGGAGGCAAGATTTCTATTTAGTGACAATGATGTGCCGTTTTCCTGAGGGTAGTGGGGGAGGATTCTTCAAGGATAGCTGTGAAATTATTCTGTAAACACTGAGTCTACTTAGCCTAAAAGTGCTGGGTACCCAAATTGAGCCATTCAATTCACAGCAGTCCTACACTGATCTCTCATGTTCAGTGGATGTTTATTATTATTACTAGTGTATGCAGTGCATAAAGCCATTTTCATGCTCATATTCAGTGTTGTGGGGTTTTGTAGGGCAGAAACAAAACTTGGTTAGTGAATTAAAAGCTTTAGGATACGTGTTTCTTGAGAGGAGGCTTGGGGAGTGATACGCTGTCAGGCCAGCTGA